ATCTAAGAGCTGGACAATAACTAAGGATGGCAGAATAAGCGATGCCTTTGAGTTATGGTATTGGAGAATAGCACTGAATAATGACCTGCCAAAAAAACCAAACATACATGTCTTGGACAACCTGCAGCTAGACTGCTCCTTGGAGGCAAGGGTGGTGAAACTTCATTTTACATAATTTGAGCATGTTGCTATTCCTTGAAAAGGTATATTATATTATTCTTGGAAAGGTCAGTGAAAGAGAGGAAGCCTCCCAATGAGACAGACTGACACAGTAAGTGCAACTGTGTCCTATCTTGTACCATCCAAACACTTCCTGATACACAAGAGCTGTCACCTCGTCAAACCAACTGGTCAAAGGTCTTCCTCTCCTTCACAGACCCTCTGCCTTTCTGAGCATCATGTCCTTCAAGGACAAACTTCTCCTAGCAACATGTTCAAAGTATGTGAGGTGAAGCTTTATCATCTTTGCCTCCAAAGAGCACTCTGGTTGCACTTTCAACAAGACATATTTGTTTATTCTTTTTGTAGAGGGTCAAGAACTGCAGCCTTCCATATGGATTGAGGCTCAATATCAAAAAGATAAAGATTCTCACCACTAGACCAACTGGTAGCATCAGGATGGATGGTGAAGAGATTGAGGTTGTTCACAGTTTTAGTTTGCTTGGCTCCACAGTCAACACTCTTGGTACCAGCAGCCAGGAAAATAAAAGACTTATTGCAATGGGAAAGTCTGTGGTTAGGAACCTCTCCAAAGTATTGAAGAGCAATGCTGTCTCTCTGGAGACTAAGGTGCATCTGATACAGGCCATGGTCTTTGCAATCACTTGTTATGCATCAGAGTTGGACAATGACTAAGAAGGATAGAAGGAGAATTGATACCTTTAAGCTGTGGTGTTGGAGAAGAGTACTGAATGTACCACAGACTGTTAAGAAAACAAACAGGTTTATCCTGGAGAGGGTTAAACGGGGTGGCTCCTTGGAGGCAAGGATTCTGAGGCTCCGTCTGACATACTTTGGACATGTTGTAAGGAGGGACTGGTCCTTGGAGAGGGACATCATGCTTGGTAGGGCGGAGGGACAGCACAGGAGGGGAAGACCCTCTATGAGGTGGACTGATTCAGTGACTGGGGTAATCGGGATGGGTGTATTGGAGACTGTGCGATTGGCACAGGACAGAGCAGAGTTTAGGGCTATTGTACATAGGGTCGCTATGAGTCGCAAGTGACTCGATGGCACATAACAACAACAACAACAGTCCATGGTATGTTCAGTACTCTTCTTCAACACCACAGCTCCAAGGCAGCAATTCTTCTGCCATCCTTATCACTGTCCAATTCTCAGATGCACAGCAAGTGTCTGAATGACCATGGCCTCAATAAGATGCACTTTAGTCCTCAAACTGGCATCATTACTCCTCAATAAATTGGAGAGTTCCCTAACTGCAGACTTTCCCAGTGCAATATGTCTCCTGAGTTCCTGACTATTGATACCAAGGGTGTTTACTGTGGATCCAAGTAAGCTGAAGTTCCTGACAGTCTCAATCTTTTTTTCCATCTAGCATGATGCCAATTAGTCTGATGGTAAGAATCTTTTTTTTAACGTTGAGATGCAATCCATATTGAAGACTACATTCTTTGATCTTCTGCAACAAGTGCAACAAGTCCGCCTCACTTTCAGTAAGCAAGGTTGGGTAATCTGCATTACTCAGGTAACTGATGAGTTTTCCTCCAATCCTTATACCACATTCTTTTCTATAGAGCCCCTGATGCACTCCATTCTTAATTTTAAACTTTTCTCTGTTTGCACAACAGTCTCCCAGTTGAGGTATAGGCTTCATATAAGCACAATTAAGTGCTCTGGGACTCCCATTCTTCTCAATGTTAACTATAGCTTGTTATGATCCATACAGTCAAATACCTTTGCAAAGTCAGTAAAGCTTAACTAGACATTCTTTTGGTATTCTTTACTTTTAGCCAGGATCCATTTGACATCACTGATGATATCCCTGGTGTCACAGCCTCTTTTAAATCCTGCTTGAACTTCTGGAAGTTTCCTATCTATGTACTGTTCTAGCCAATTTTTTAAAAATAATTTTAATGAGCATTTACAGAGATTTTGGATTTCCATTCATTCATTGCTGCACTTCTCTTCCCCCCAACCCTGCCCCTTCCCCCCCCCCTCAGGTTGCTCCTCTCTTTCAAAAGTAAAAGAAACACTCCCTCCCTGGGACACAATCCCCCCACACCCCTCCCACCGCCCCAAGTACATTCCTCTATGCAACCTTAATTGTGGACTCTTGTGATAACCATAATACCCTATCATACATCGCTTTTAAATTATTCACTCCCTCATCTGTTTCAGTGCAGTATACACAATTTATCCAGTTTTTCTCAGTCTTAGCCCAACCCTGATATCAGTCCCATTTTACAACAGTGGCACCATGTAATATTTGTCCTTTTGCAACTGAGATATTTCACTCAGCATAATGTCCTCCAGGGTCACCTATTTTGAATAATATTGCATGAATTCCTTGTTTTTTAATGCAGCATAGTATTCCATTGTGTGAATATACCATAGCTTCTCTATCCATTCGTTTGTTGATGGGCACCTAGGTTGTTTCCAACTCCTTGCTATTGTGAACAGAGCTGCGATAAACATGGGTGTGCATATATCTGCTTGGATGTCAGTTATGGTCTCTTTGGGATATATTCCCAGTAGTGGAATTGCTGGGTCAAATGGTATCTCTATTTGCAACTTTTTGAGAAAGCGCCATACCGCCTTCCACAGTGGCTGCACCAATTTACACTCCCACCAACTGTAAATAAGGGTTCCAGTTTCTCCACAACCTCACCAGCATTTGTTGCTTGCTGTTCTGTTAAATTTTCCTAGTCTTACTGGGGTGAGATGATATCTCATAGTTGTCTTGATTTGCATCTCTCTCACAGCTAGGGATTTTGAACATTTCTTCATGTGCTTGTTGGCCATCTGAATGTCTTCTTTGGTGAAGGGTCTGTTCATATCCTGTGCCCATTTTTCAATTGGATTATTTACCTTTATCTTGTTGTGTTGCTCAAGTATTTTATAAATTCTAGATATAAGTCCCTTATCTGACATGTCATTACCAAATACGTTTTCCCAGTCTGTGGCTTCCCTTTTTACCCTGGTGGAGAAGTTTAAAAGGTCCCATTCAAGATGGAAAAAAAAAAAAAGGTCCCATTCATCTATTTTATCTTCTGGTTGTCTAGTCAATTTTTAAATTGATCGTCAGCAGTATTTTGCTTGCATGTGATCTCAATGATAACGTTTGATAGTTTCCACATTCACCTTTCTTGGGAATGGAAAAAAATATGGACCTCTTCCAATCTGTTGGCTGGACAGCTATCCTCCAAATTTACTGGCATAGACTGGTGAATGCATCCAGGGCTACCACTGTTAATTGAGACAAGTCAATTGGTATCTCATTGATACGTGGGGCCTTATTTTTTTGCCAGTGCCTTCACTGCAACTTCTACTTCATTACCATTGGCTCTTCCTCATATGGTGCCTCCTGAAATTTTTCAGGGTCAGTCAGTTGTTTTTGGTACAATGACTCTGTGTATTCCTTCCATCTTATTTTGATGGTTCCTGGTTCATTCAAGATATTGCCCATAGCATCTTTCAATCTTGTGGCCTGAGGCTTAAATTTGTTTTTCAGTTCTCTCAGCTTGAGAAATGCAGAGCAAGTTCTTCCCTTTTTAGTCTCCAATTCCAGCTCTCTGCACATTCCATTATAATACTTTGCTCTGTCCTCCCAAGCAGTCCTTGGAAATCTTCTGTTCAGCACTTTTACTTCAGGATGTTTTCCCTTTGTTTTGGCTTTTCAATGCTCTAGTGCAATTTTCAGCCTCTTCTGACATCTATTTTGTCTTCTTCTTTCTCCTCTGCCTCTGTAATGACCTCACTTCATGGACAATATTCTTGATACCATCCCACAACTTATCTGGTCTTCAATATACTTTGGAAGAAAGAATAAAAGAACTCTAATAAAGACTATTTATTCAGAGCCTATGAAGGGCCATTGCCATACTATGATAGTGTTTAGGAAAGGCAATTTCTGTCCTTAAACTCAAAATATTGCAAGGAAGTAATCGTTAATCTTTATAAAAGCAGTATAAGCAAAATGTCAGTTATTGAGAAGTTCATAGGAAAAAGGCATCAAAAATGGTGTAACATTTGTTTTGACCTTGAAAAAAAAGTACCTGATCAGAACAGATAAGAGGTGATTCTGGGCACATTCTAGGTGAAGCAAATGCATGGGTTGAAGAGGATGGGGAACTTGTGGAATGCAAGAAGTATAAGTGCATTCTTACAGTAAGAGATGGAGCTGAAGAGTCATAGTCTTTGCAGGTCTTGCCAAAGTCTTAATTAATACAGATTCAAGGGCTAATTAGAGATTACAAAGCAGCAGGGAAACATGATTAAATCTATTCTTATGGAACTTTGAAGAAGGAACTTGGAGATGACGACAGAGAAAGAAATACCAACGGTTAGCACTGCATTACACTACATTACAGTTAGTAGTTGTGAGAATGGTTAGGAACCAAGAAAGAAACGATGAAGATATAATCTCACTGGATGGCAAAAGAGATAGGGAAGAAAGACTAAAAAGTCATTAAGAGGCAGAAACAACAGAATTTAGTGGATGACTGTGTTGGGAGATAGACAAGCGGGAAGGCTCAGAAATTACTCAAGTCTTCAAACTGGGTCAAGGATGAACTATAGTGTTAAAAACAATAAAGCTAGTAAATAAAGGAGTAAGGATAATTTGGACAGGACAAAGAAAGGATGACTTTGGTTGTAGATATGTTGACTTTATGGCAATTTAAAAGACACAGACATACCAGAATAATAATAGAGAGATAATCAGAAGTCTAGCATGTGATTCAATCTAAAACACAAATAATGGTGGTGGTCGTGGTAGTTAGTGGTGGTGGTGTTGGGAGTTACATAAAAATACTTACCAATTTGAAGATGATCAAGTTCAGGTGTAAAGAGTCCAGTAGGATATATTTTGATTAAAAAATAGATGCATTTATTGTTGCAAAGAACTGGTTCCTGGACTTCTGAGAGCAAGGATTTAGATACAGGTGTGTATGGCTTTACTATTTCTGTACCTAAAATGTAACAACAAAGAAATTATAAAAATCTAAAGAATGAATGAAGATAAAACATATAAATTTTATGATGCTATTAGTGTATATTTAAAACTATACACTTAGTATATAGTTAAATAATTATATAGCATACACAGTTTTAACTTTATGCTCCCTATAGACGTATATACTCTAAGGCTATATGTGTGATAAAAGAATTTTAGTAATTTAATACTATCTTCATATTACAAGCAGCATGTTTTTATTAAATGTGGCATAAATCAATAGGATTTAGACAGTATATACAGCATAATCTATATTATATACTGTCCTTTTACCAGTGGTCAGTGATGACCAATGAGATCATTTGGGGCAGAAATCAGGAAGAATTTCACTTTTAATTTGTCTAAAGTTCTGATATATGCATTACTTGCATATGAAAGAATACAATGCTAATCTAATTACTTCTAAGAGTATACTGAAAAACCAGGTAAAATAAATAAGTATTCACTGGATATTTTTGCTAGTCAGATTCCAAAGTAGCATTAACCAAGCATCTAAAAGATTAAATAAAATACTATATTTCTAAATTTACAATGTAAATAACTGCAACAAGGGAGGAAAAAGTAGCTACTGAATGGTAACTTGGCAGTAGTGAAAGGAGAAGAAGAACTTAATAGTGGCATCATAACATACTGTGTCTATCAAATCCTGGCAGGTACTATGTTAAACAAATTCTTCTAAAAATACTATAAACTTACTACATTTAATTTGATTTCCATTATTAGCAACCTTATAAAATAGAGTAAAAGTGCTTCTGAGGCTGTAAATTTTTATGAAAGCAGGTTGTTTTATCTTTATTCCCCAGAGTGACTTGTGGGTTTGAACAGCTGACCTTCTGGTTAGTGGCTTAATGCTACCTGAGCTCCCACTAAGGGCTGCAAATGTTTCTGTCGATAGCTTCCAAAGGTGACAAACAGGTTGCACATCTTTAAAAAGGTTATTTAAAACAAGTGAGATAATTTTAGGATAAAAACAAGGTATTATGAATTTTCAGTCAGAAATACATTCATGAGCTTTTACATGACATGTAACAAAATTATAACAATCCACACATTCTGGATTTTATACATTTACCACTATAAATGTTACAGTCATACATGGCCATTGAGATGCTATTTTGTGTTTCTGTTCTCTGGGGAAATGTTTTGTGAACTTTCTTACCTATTTATTGCCTTTAGGGCTCTGCCATTAGTAAATTACAATGCACGTAGAGTTACCTCATTCAGCAGTGACAATTTCATTATTTCATACAATAATGGAGCATGCCTATGATTCTAATATGCACTCCATCTACAAAGTTAGAATCTGGCCATCTTTTTT